GGAAAGAGAAATTTGTGACTGACAGTCTAGAGTGCCAGGATCTTTTTTTTTTAAGGGAGTCAGTGGGGAGCTGGAAAAAAAAACCCCCAAAACACCTCAGTCCCCTCCACTTTTCTCATAACCATAAATACGAAAAAGGTCTGGGTTAGACTCACTAAGAAATTCGATCTGAAGCCCTCCTCTAAGCAGAAACTGGACTGGCCCACATGGAATGGACTGAGAGGGAACAGAACAGTGCGGCCTATGCCAGCTCTCCCAAGGTGGAAGTTTCCTCGTCTCTCCCAGGCTCCAGCAGGAACTATGTGATTTGGGAGGAGAGCGCCAGAATTGGTACCTGGGAACCTGAGAAGGCTCACGTCCCCGGGCACCTTCCTGGGAGCTCTGTTCCCAGCCACAGCCCAGACTGTGCTTCTGGTTTTCCACCCAAAGGAATACATAGACATGTAAAAAACCCCAGGATCACATTTTTTGTTTTTTTAACGTCTTTACCGGAGTATAATGGCTTTACAATGGTGTGTTAGTTTCTGCTCTATAACAAAGTGAATCACCTGTACATATACATACATCCCCATATCCCCTCCCTCTTGCGTCTCCCTCCCACCCTCCCTATCCCACCTCTCTAGGTGGTCACAAAGCACCGAGCTGATCTCCCTGTGCTATGCGGCTGCTTCCCACTGGCTACCTATTTTACGTTTGGTAGTGTATATATGTCCATGCCATTCTCTCACTTTGTCCCCGGGAATCACATTTTAAAAGCAAGAATAAATTAGGCAGACATATTATGAGGCCTCAATAGCCAAAGGCTAATTTAACTTGACATATAATAATAAACACAGTACAAACTAGAAAAAGAGCTAGTGTAGCGAGGGGAGAGAGTACCTGCCCTAGAGTCAATAAGATCTGGGTTCCAGGTCCGGACCCAGCACTCAACAGCTCGTGACCTTGTGCAAGTTACTCAGCTGTGTGGAATCTCCATGCCCTCATCTAGAAATGAAGATTCCAGAAGGACCGATGTCAGTATTGTGAAAATTAAATGAGATAATATATATCAAACATTGAGGACGTTGAGCCCATGGGAAGTGCTCAAGAATTATTACTCCTATTGTCATCACTGTCATCATTTTCATACCAGTCACTAATCGCAGGATAACACTTCCTAGCAGTTATGGATTATACCATGTCCTGAAGGAGATGCCACACACACTCACGACAGGTTTGTGAAGACAAGAAGAATGTTCCCTGCCGTGGCCTGGGGATGGGGCTGTAGGCTCTCAGGGGTCTCCCAGCACGATACAGCTCCCCAAGTACCTCTCCATCGACTCAGACTCACCTGTACCCTCCTCCTCTTTGCTTCTGTGGCCTCCAAGCCTGGTCCATCCACTTCTCTTTCCCCTGCCACCCACAGTGGTTTCTGGACCTGGCACCTCCCCATACTTTGTCCAGGTTACAGAAGAAGTCAGTCTCCCTACTTTACTCTTATCCTTTCTCTCCAACACGCACACACACACACACCCCTTGTGAAATTATTTCAGGCTGCTGAGGGGACTGTTAAAGAGGAAACAGACAAGGGATAAAAGGTTCTCTCCTCTGCCTCTTGCCTCCACTCCATTTTTATACTGAGAGCTGGTTGAGAAAGACAGTGCTGGAATAAACAGACAAAAAGCAATGGTGATGTGGATTGGATGCCAGAAGCTTAGGGCACATGTGGAATTGAACGGAGGTTTATTTCCCATGAAACATATGACCTGACTCACTAAATCTTACGACGATTAGGGAAAAGGATGGCATGAGAAGCAATCTGTGATGTCTCAGGATGGTCCCCAGGACAGGTTTCCAAATGCTTTGGGTCCACACGCCAATACAATTCCAAGAGAAAGACTGGAGGGCTGACTCGTGTTGCCAAGATTTTAGTTGCCCAACTAAGGACATGGGTTTTAAAAATCACCTATCAACGGGGACTTCCCTGGCGGTCCAGTGGTTAAGACTCCACACTTCCAATGCAGGGGGGCACGGCTTCAATCCCTGGTCAGGGAACTAGGATCCCACATGCTACACAGCACAGGTAAAAAAAAAAATCACCTATCAACAAATCTCAGCACGAAAACAACAAGAATAAAACCAAGAAAAGACAGTTGGCCATCACACATACACACAGAGTTGTCCTCATTTTTCTCTTTTCACCACAGACCTGTGAGAACTTCATTCTTGCCCAGCACCAGTCCTCTGACTGGACATTGGGATCCACTGGCCCACAGTCCCATGATAACATTCAGTGAATTATCCTGGAGTGTCCACCATGACCCAGCCTCTGTGCTGGTTTGGAGGATCTTTTCTGGAGTTTGGGGCACAATACGAGTGAGAGGTACTGTTCTTCTACTCATGTAAAAACAGTCTGATTTCCAGGACCCTGTCACAATCAAGAAGACAGACGCTCTGACCCTAAATGTGGATACAGTGAAAAGCGGGGCTTCAAAGGAGGTTTCAATGCTCTCCTCTCAGTAATTAATAGAACAAGTATTGGAGAGATAGAAAAACCAAGAGGGATAAAGCAGACACTATCAACTAACTTGACTTCATTGATATTTATGGGACTTTTCACCCAACAACTACAAATACACATTCTTTTCAAGTGCGTATGGTATGTTCACCAAGATCAACTATGGGCTGGGTCATCAAACAAGTTTCCATAAATTTAAAAGCGCTGGAATTATGTAGTGTATGTTCTCTCACCAAAACAAAATTGAATTAGAAATCAATAACAAAAAGATCACCAAATATTTGGAAATTAAAGACACACTTCTAAATAACCCATGGGGCAAAGGAGAAATCACAAAGGAAATTTGCAAACGTTTCAAAGACAATGAAAACATATCAAAATCTGTGAGATGCAGCTAAAACAGTATATAGAGGGGCATTTATAGATTTAAAATGCTTATATTAGAAAAATATTTTAAAGTTGAAAATTAATGATCTAAGCTTCTCCTTTATGAGGGTAGAAGAAGAAATGCAAATTAATCCCAAAGCAAAGCAAAAGGAAGGAAATAATAATGACTGGAAAGCAATGAAATAGAAAACAGACAAACCAGGGAGAAGACCAGTGAAATCAGGAGCATGTCAAGCTGGTCTTTCTACTCTTGATGGAATAAATGCCGGTGTGTCATTTGGCAAAGGTCATCACTGTCAATGGGGACTGCCCGGTAGGCACGGGGCAGCCAAACACACATGGGATGGAGACTCTGCCCACTTGCTCAAAGCAGAACTGTAAGGGAGCCTTTGATAGGCCTTTCCTGCCCACGCTGCTTGCAGTTGCCCACCTTAGATCACCAGAGATGTGCTGTGCTTCCTGAGAGTCTCCCAAAACACACTTGAAGCTCCTCTCTTCCTCTTGTCCATTTCTTGGTCCCCTGCACAGGATATCATTTAACGGGAGCATGCTGTCAAGTTACGAGTAACAGCTTTCATCTCTGCACTGCAAAGACAAAACATGGGTTGCCCTTCTGTCCACACAGATGGCTACATGTAATATTATATACTACATTTTTAGAATACAGAACCATAGAATGGTAAGGACCAGAAGGGAACCTTTGGCATCATCTACTTCAATACTCACTCGCTCTGGTCATGCCTCATGTTTCTATCAGTGGCACTGGCTTTGGCTACTAGAGAGAAATCTTCCACTGTTCAGACCTCTATAGCGGGAGAAAATTCTACAGCAAATAAACACTTCTCACTACTAAGATTTTCCTGTTTTGAGGCCAGGCTCTTACCAGCAGAAGTTTCTTGGCCACGAAGGCTCAGTCAATCTTGTGGTTGATGAGAAATACTAAGTTGTGAGGGTTGGAAGGGGCTGTTCCCAAAATTGTGCATTTGTGCTCTACCTCCATTAGTATAAACCCAGAATCCTGGGGGGTGCTTCACACCCACTGGCTGAGGTGCTTGCAATGATTCCAGCTCCATGGAAGAGGGAGTCCAGATGCTTCCATGGTCCCCAGTGTACTCAGAATACGGCGTCCAAGTACAAACACACGTTGCTACCCAACCACTTCTGTGACGTGTATGTTATAACGTAGCATTCAAGGATCTGGCGCCCAGGTTTCAGCCATTCTTCTTTCCAGAATCTACCTATGAATGAGGTTTAGGCAACATTTAAGCTGAAATTCTTCTCCAAAATATATACATTCTATTTATCTGACACGTTCTGCTCTATTACAAGCATGCAGACTGGGGGGATTTGCCACAAACCATTCCATGTGATTTTAGCTTTTCCAAAGAGATGCTGTGAGACTTAGTCTTCGAGACAAATTCCGCCTGCAGCCTGGCTTCAGGCTACTCCACCGCACATCCATGCTGGTCCCACCTGAGTCACTCCACTCACAGCCACCTTCTACCTTTAGTCCTGAAGGATTGCTTTAAGCACTGCATGTGAAGAATTCCAGTGACCTGGAAAAAAAGAATGGAGGATGGTGATATAGACAATCTCCTTTCTTATCAAGCAGTTCTCTTTTTGTCTCATCTGTAAATCCCTTTTTTCTACTCAAAAGGGCAAGGAAATACAAGGGGAAAATATTAAACAGATCTATCAGAATTCCTATTTACGCAATTTCCCAACTAACTGGGAGATAAAGAATATTAAATGTCCTGTCAGTATGCATCGAGAATCACAGTCTCAAATTTGATAAACAAAATTGGAATGGAACGCCCTTGTATAACTACAGAAATGAACAATGTGTACACCAACAACATCAAACTGCCCAGGCATTGTTGACATTTCCGGGAGGGTCCTGCAAGGTGGAAACACACACAAAAAAGCTTGCCTGAAAGTTTCCTTCCAACTTCATCTCTTTCTGGCATCACTGTGACAGTCTGAGGGTTTTACATTATTTGTTTCTTGCCTGTGATATAAGTTCTGAGAGGGCTGGGACTCTATTCTCCACAGTGCCGTGTTGCCGTCAGCTAGCATTATTTATCCCTGGCACATAGTTGGTGCTCTGTGAATATCTGTCGAATGAATGAGTTAACGAATGACTATTTCTGACTTCCACCTGAGTATCGTCCCACATTTACTCTCACCAGTTGATGGTTTCTTCTAAATTATCTCTTCATCAGTAGATTTATTTGAGTTCACTTCATTTTATAAAATATCCCAAAATATACAGTTGGCTTGGGGGAGTCCACACTACCTTGTTACACCCTTTAACTGTAAATTTCAACTCTCCTTTCCCATCGCCCTGATTTTTGCTGGTCTTGTCGTCGAAAGAAGGAGGACAACATGGGCTCTGTCCCCAGGTGACCCTGGTAAGAGCCTGGCCTCAGAAAAGGAAAATCTTAGTAGTGAGAAGTGTTTCTTTGCTGTAGAACTTTCTCCTGCTATCAGGGTCTGTACAGTGGAAGATTTCTCTCTAGCGGCCAAAGCCGCAGCCACCCTGATACGAACATGAAGCGTGGACCAGAGTGAGTTATTATTAGATGATGCTGGTTGGGTAATGAGTCATCGTTTATGAGAAGCACTTCCTGCTGCAGATGTTTTTTCGGACCCTCCGCACGAGGCAAGCTTGTCCTCTTAGGAGGTAACCACAAGCTTCTGTGCAAAGACCTGGTTCTCAGAGAAAACGTAGTCTTTCAAGTTTTGAGTCTTGGAAGCACATCTAATTTATTGCTTGGAAATGGAGTCAGGAACAGCAAACGTTGGCAAAGGGGTGCTTTGAGCAGCAGCATGCAAGTTAAGCCCCAAATGAGCTCATCCTAAAGAAAACTTGTTTTAAAGACTTTAATCTCTCTCCCAAAAAAGGCAGTGAGATGTATAAGTCATTTTCAGTAAGAATAAATTACTATTTCTTTCTATAGCAATTAACTGTCTACAACTTAGCCAGAAAACCATAACCAAGTGTTTATAATTGTAGGTTCTTGTAAGTGTATATCAAGCGTCTTTCGCTCTCTCTGCCTGACTCTGACTTGTTAGAGACAAGATATCAGAACGTACGAGGATCTCTCTGGGTTCTTCCAAGAATGTGTGTGTGTGTGTGTGTGCGTGTGTGTGGTCCTCAGAATGCATATACATTCACACACAGATATACACCCACATGCCCAGCAGTCAGCATTCCAGTGCACGTTAGAAAGCTGTCATTCATCTAACTGTGTTGGAGACAGATTTACTCTCTCAGCAATGTGATGAAGCAGCCTCAGTGAGCTGATTGCACTGTGGCAATGATAACAAGCCTGCAGGGAGATGCTGCATAACACAGTGCTCTGCAAAACAGCTGCTTATTCTGAATCAGAGTGTGCACAGCTTTTTAAACAGTGCATTTTCATTCCCGGACAAATGACGGGCCTTGGTTTTGTTTTTTACATTTCTCTGCTGCTCTTGGGTAAAGAAAACTTCTCTGTGACTTTGCAAATAATACTTGATTTCTGTTTTCTTAAAAGAAATTGGAAAGCTGGACAGCCAGATAACTGGGGTCATGGCCATGGGCCTGGAGAAGACTGTGCTGGGCTGATTTATGCTGGGCAGTGGAACGACTTCCAATGTGAGGACATCAATAACTTCATTTGCGAAAAAGACAGAGAGACAGGTAAGCAGCAGAGGGGATTTAAGAGAGAGCCGCTGAGCTTATATCTTATTAAAGGGCAAGAGGTGATGAGTATAAGGGATCTGAATGTAGGCTCGGTAATCGGGTTCCAGTCCTGGTTCTGCCATTTACTAGCTGGGCAAGCTATTAACCTCAGGGAAATAATAGTATCTTCTTAATGGGTTTGTTGTGAGGACGTAAATAAGTTAATAAATGTGCCTAATGTAGAGGAAGTACTCAATAAATATTAGACTAAAAGGCCTAGGTCATTACCCTATAATATTGTCAGTCAATTGTTATTTAACATATGGCACCAGTATTAAGTCTTTTTCATAGAGTTCCATGCACGGATAATTCAGGTGGCCAAGCATTCAATTCCACATGTATTTATTGAGCATTTACTATGGGCCAGATGCTGTGCTAGATAATGTAGGGATATAGTTTCCCCGCCTCCTTCTAAGCTCATAAGCCTAAGAGGCATTTGGAGATTCTTTTTTTCATTTCAAAAGGTACTTATGCAAAGTTTCATTAAATACATGACCCTCTTCAGGACATAGCATCTTAGTTTTCTTCAGCAGAACTAGATTTGAAAGTTTGTGGTGGAGGAAGGAGGAAATGGGGGTGAATGGTAATAGGTATGGGTTTCTTTTAGGGGTGATGAACATGTTCTAAAATATTAGATAGTTCTAAACTATACAACCTTGTGAATATTATGTAATTCTATCTCATAAAGTCTTTATTTTGAAAGTTGGTGGGAGACCTTGAAGGGCAGGCACTATCTTTGTGCTGTCCCTCTGCTGTGCTCCACAGCACCAGTATCACCCCAAGGGGAGCTTTTACACATGTCTGATGCCCAGTTTTTTGCAGCTGCCACCCAGGGAACACCCCTTGATCTCCTGGCTCTAGTGGCCAGTGAGCTTGCATTCCTGGGTCCCATGAGACTATAACAAACAAATCATTCTTGGCCAGCTGCTATCCCCAGGGGACTGTGCAGACAGCAAACTGAATCATACCCCCAGTATTTCTGTGAAAGAGGCCTATTTGCTTGTCCTGGAGCTTCAGCAAGAGGGGTAGGCTTCTGGTTTGGCTCATCTAGGGACCTACTGAGGTGCCCTCCAGGGACAAAGGCTGGTGGATGCCATCTTTGTGACCTCCCTCTGCCTCATGACAGGGTGCAGGTAGCTCCCAGGATGGAGCTTGTACACTTGTCTGGCACCCTGATTTTTGCAAAAACTGTGCAGGAGACACTTCTAGGTCACCCAGTTCTGGTGGCCAGTGGGACATACCTTTCAGTCCCACAAGACTATAAATATTTGCATACTTTAAAAGCTGCTGCCTGAAGGTCTAGTTTCTAATCAGCAAGACTCTAGTTGCTGACTGAGATCTTCCCCTTTGGGGCACTGACAGGTCTTGGCACACTCAAATGCTAGGAGCCACTAAAAATAAAAAAGGCTGCTTGAACAATCACAGTGGTTTGAAGGACAAGCAAGAGCTAGGGCAGGGTTGAAAGATAAGGTTCATTCCTACAAGATGCCACTCCCTCAAGATTGGGAAAGAGGGTTGTTTTATCTAGTTGACAACACAGAGAGTCAAGCAAAATGAAGAAAGATACATATGTTCTGAATGAAAGAACAAGATAAAACCTTATAAAAAGTCCTTAATGGAGATAAGTGATGTACCTATTAAAAGGTTCAAAATCATAGTTATAAAGATGCTCACACTGAACTTGGGAGAAGAATAGATGAACACAGTTAGAACTTCAATAAAGAGATAGAAAATATAAGAAAGTACCAAATAGAAGTTACAGAGCTGAAGAATACAATAACTGGAAAATATATACTAGTAGGGTTCAATAGCAGACTAGATGAAGCAGAAGAAAGGATCAGTGAGCTCAAAAGCAGGGCAGTGGAACACACCCAGTGGAGAAGCAAAAAGAAAAAAGAATGAAAAAACGTGAAGATAGTTTAAGGTACTTATGAGACAATGTGAGGTGGTCCAACATTCACATTATAGGGGCCCAGAAGGAGAAAAGAGGGGTAAAGGGGCAGAAACTTCTTGAAGAAATAATGGCTGAAAACTTCCCTAAACTTGGGAAGGAAACAGACATCCAAGCCCAGGAAACCCAGAGTTCCAAATAGGAGGAACCCAAAGAGACCCACACCAAGACACTTTATAATTAAAATGTCAGAAGTTAAAGACAAGGAGAGAATCTTAAAAGCAGCAAGAGAAAAATAACTTTGTTACATACAAGGGAACGCCTATGGACTGTCAGCTGATTTTTCAGCAGAAACTTGGCAAGCCAAAAGGGAGTGGAATGGTTTTATTAAAAGTTTTCAAAGAAAAAAACTTCCAGTTAAGAATACGCTACCCAGCAAAGTTATCCTTCAGAATTGAAAGAGAGAGTTTTCCAGACAAGCAAAACCTAAAGGAGTTCACCACCACTAGACCAGCCTTACAAAAATGTTAAAGAGGCTTCTTTACACTTAAAAGAAAGGGTGCTAATTAAAAACAGGGAAACATATGAAAGTATAAATCTCACTGGTAAAGGTCAAAATATATTTACCTTTACATATATATAGTAAAATTCAGAATACTCTAATGTTGTAAAGGTAGTGGATTAACACTTATAAAGCTGGTATGAAGGTTAACAGACAAAAGTAATCAAAATAACTATAACTACAATGATTTGTTAAGGGATACACAAGATTAAAAGATATAAATTGTGACATCAAAAACATAAAATGGTGTGGGGGCAGGGAGTAAAAACACAGTTTTAGAATGCATTCAAACTTAAGTTTTATTAAAATAGACTATTATAAATATAAATTGTTGTATGTAAGCCTCATGATAACCATAATGCAAAAACCTATAGTAGATACATAAAAGGTAAATAGAAAGGAATCTAAGCCTACCACTACAGAAAATCATCAAGTCACAAAGGAAGAGAGCAAGAGAAGAAGAAACAGAGGAACTACAAAACAGCCAGAAAACAATTAACAAAATGGCAAGTAATACATATCTTTTAATAATTATTTTAAACATAAATGGACTACATTCTCCAGTCAAAAGACATAGAATGGCTGAATGGATAAAAATACAAGACCCGTCTATATGCTGCCTACAAGAGACTCACTTCAGATGAAGGATACACACAGACTGAAAGTGAAGATGTAAAAAGATATTCCATGCAAATGGAAACCCAGAGCAAGATGGGGTAGCTATATTTATATCAGACATAATAGACTTTAAAACAAAGACTGGAATAAGAGACAAAGAAGGTCATTACATAGTGATAAAGGAATCAATCCAACAAGAGTATATAACATTTGTAAATATTTATGCACCCAACATAGGAGCACCTAAGTAAAAAAAGCAAATATCGACAGACCTAAAGGGAGAAATAGCAGTACAGTATTAGTACCCCACTTTCATCAGTGAATAGATCATCCAGACCAAAAAAATCAATAAGGAAACATTGGCCTTAAATGGCACATTAGATCAGGTGGACCTAACTGATAGAAAAAATCCCATCCAAAAGCAACAGAATACACATTCTTCTCAAGTGCACATGGAACATTCTCCGGAATATATCATGTTAGGCCACAAAAAAAAACCTCAATAGATTTAAGAAGATTGATTTCTAGCCTCATACCATTGTGAGTGGAAAAGATGCTTGATATGGCTTCAATCAATCACAAGAAGAAAACTGGAAAAATCACAAATATGAGGAGATTAAACAACATGCTACTGAACAACCAGTGGGTCAAGGAAGAAATCAAAAAGGAAGTAAAAAATATAGTGAGACAAATGAAAATGCAACATACCAAGACTTATGGGATGTAGCAAAGCAGTTCCAGGAGGGAGGTTCATAGCAATACATCCTGTATCAAGAAAAAAAGATCTCAGATAAACAACCTAACCTTACCCCTCAAGGAACTAGAAAAAGAACAAATGAAGCCCAAAGTTAGTTGAAGGAAGGAAATAAAGATCAGAGTGGAAATAAATGAAATAGAGACTAAAAAGATAATAGAAAAGATTAATGATAGAGCTGGTATTTGAAAGATAAACAAAATCGGCAAACTTTTAGCTAGATTTACCAAGAAAAAAATATGGGCTTAAATATATGCAATCAGAAATGAGAGAGGAGACACTATAACCGGTATCACAGAAATACAAAGATCACTATGAACAATTATACACCAACAAATTGGACAACCTATGAGAAATAAATTCCTAGAAACATACCATCTATGAAGAAATGAATCATGAAGAAATAAAAAAATCTGAACAGACCAGTTACTAGTAAAGAGATTGAATAAGTAATCAAAAACCTCCCAATAAACAAAAGTCCAGGGCCAGATGGCTTCATTAGTGAATTCTACCAAACGTTTAAAGAAAAATTAATGCCGATCCTTCTCAAAGTTTCCAAAAAATAGAAGAGGAGGAAACACTTCCAAACTCATTTTATGAGGCCAGCATTACCCTGATACCAAAGCCAGACAAGGACATTACAAGAAAAGAAAATTACAGGCCAATATCCTTGATGAACTATAGACGTAAAAATCCTCAACAAAATATTAGCAAACCGAATTCAACAATACAGTAAAAGAATTATACGCCATGATCAAGTGGGATTTATTCCAGGGATATAAGGATGGTTTAACATCCACAAATCAATCAATGAGATACACTACATTAACAGAATGAAATAAAAAAATCATATATAATCTCAATAGATGCAGAAAAGCATTTGACAAAATTCAGTGTTCATTTATGATAAAAAAAAAAAAAAAAAAAAAACTCTCAAATGGATTCCCTGTAGAGGGAAACTCCCTATAGAGGGTCTGTGACAAGCCCACAACTAACATCATACTCAATGGTGAAAAGCTGAATACTTTTGTTCTAAGATCAGGAACAAGACAAGGATGCCCACTCTCACCACTTTTATTCAGCATAGTATTGGAAATCCTAGCCAGAGCAATTAGGTGAAAAAAAAAAAAAAAAAAAGGCATCCAAATCAGAAAGGAAGAAGTAAAACTGTCGCTATTTGCAGGTAACGTGATATTTTATATATAGAAAACCCTAATGGCTCCACCAAAAAAAAGTGTTAGAATAAATGAATTCTGTAAAGTTGCAGGACACAAAAATCAATATACAAAAATATGTTGTGTTTCCATACACTATAACAAACTATCAGAAAGAGAAATTAGGGAAACAATACCATTTGCAATTGCATCAAAAAGGAAAAAATACCCAGGAATAAATTTACCCAAGGAGGTGAAAGACCTGTACACTGAAAACTATAAGACATTGATGAAAGAAACTGAAGAAGACCCAAATAAACAGAAAGATATTCTGTGCTCATGGATTGGAAGAATATTGTTAAAATGTCCATACTATCCCAAGCAATCTACAGATCCAATGCAATCCCTAGAAAAATTCCTATGGCATTTTTCACAGAAATAGAACAAACAATCCTAAAATTTGTATGGAACCACGAAAGACCCCAAATAGCCAAAGTAATCTTGAGAACAAAGAGCAAAGAGAGACACAGTCCCTGATTTCAAACTATATTACAAAGCTACAGGGTTCAATACAGTGTGGTAGTGGCATAAAAACAGATACATAGATCAGTGAAACAGAATATATAACCCAGAAATAAATCCATGCATATGGATTGTTGGTCAACTAACTTATGATAAAGGAGCCAAGAATATACAGTGGGGAGAGGACAATCTCTTCAATAAATGCTCTTGAGAAAACTGGACAGCCACATGCAAAAGAATGAGACTGGACCACTCTCTTATACCATACACAAAAATAAGCTCAAAATGGATGAAAGACTCAAATGTAAGACCTGAAACCATAAAATTCCTGGAAGAAAACATAGGTGATAATCTCCTTGACATTGATCTTGGCAATGATTTTTTGGATCTGACAACAAAAGCAAAAATAAGCAAGTGTGACTACATCAAACTATAAAGCTTCTGCAAAGCAAAGAAAACCATCAACAAATGAAAAGTCGGCTTACTGAATGGGAAAAAATATCTGCAAATCATAGAACTGATAAGGTGCTAATATCCCAAATATATGAAAAATTCACACAACTCAATAGCAAAACACCAAACAATCCCATTGAAAAATGGGCATAAAACCTGAACAGACATTTTTCCAAAGAAGACATACAGATGGCCAACAGGTACATGAAAAGCTACTCAACATCCCTAATCATCAAGCAAATGCAAATGAAAACCACAATGAGATATTACCTCACACCTGTCAAAATGGTCATTATAGAAAAGACAAGAAATAACAAGTGTTGGCGAGGATGTGGAGAAAAGGGAACACTTATGCACTGTTGGTGGGAATGTAAATTGGTGCAGCCACTATGGCAAAACAGTATGGAGGTTCCTCAAGAAATTAAAAATATAATAGAACTACCATATGATCCAGCAATTCCACTTCTAGGTATTCATCTGAAGAAACAAAAACATTAACTTGAAAATATATATGTACCCTTATGTTCATTGGAGCATTATTTATAATAGCATTATTTACAATATGGAAGCAATCTAAGGGTCCATTAATAGATGAATGGGTAAAGAAAATGCAGTATACAAATACAATGGAATATTATTATTCAGCCATAAAAAAGAATGAAATATTGCCATTTGTGACAACATGGATTAACCTTGAGGGCATTATGCTAAGTGAAATAAGTCAGACAGAGACAGACACCATATGATGGCACTTATATGAAACCTTAAAAAAAAAAATGGAACTCACAGATACAGAAAACAGGTGGTTGCCAGAGGCGGAGAGTGGTGGGGTGTACAAAATGGGTGAAGGGGCTCAAAAGGTATAAACATCTAGTTATAAAATGAATAAGGCATGGTAATGTAATGTCATGTACACCATGGTGACTATAGTTAATAATCCTGTTATATATCTGAAAGTTGCTAAAAGAGTAAATCTTAAAAATTCTCATCACAACAACAACAGCAAAATTATAACTACATGTGGTAGTGGACGTTAACTAGTCTTACTGTGGTGATCGTTTTGAAATATATACAAATTTGGAATCATGTACACTTGAAACTAATATGTTATATGTCAATTTTATCTCAATTTTTAAAAACAAAGTTGATGACAAAAATATATTTTGCTCAAATTATTTTTGACAGTAACTGGGGCACAAATTATGCATTTATCCATTCAACAGTCATGTATTGAAAACCTCTAGTGTGTCAAGCACTCATCCAAGTGCTAGAGGTCTCCAGACACGTAAGGAACTCCCATCCTGGTCAGTTTCAGGAAAAGAACACAAATATCTCAACAAGAGATTACAGTAGACGGTGACAAGTGACCCAGATTTGTCATCTGTTAGCCTTCTTTGGCCATTTGGGATTTGAGTTGGGACTAGGATTCCCCAGAATAGGCTCTTTCAAAGTGAATTTTACCTTTTATTTAATCTAAGAATTTCTAGGCATTTATTTGAAAAAATAATTATTGAACGATGTATTTGGAATGTTTCCTATAAAAACACATGTTCCTTTTCTGAATTATACATTAACATTGTTCTTTAAGAAAAACTAACACCCATCCTTTTTCCTTTCTTTTAGTACTATCACCTGCGTTATAATGGACTGTGATATAATAAGAGCAAATTTTCGGACAGTTCTCAAAGGCAAAAGATACTTCTTCCTCATTGCATCACCTTCTCACCAGATTGAAAAAAAGCACTGAAAACCAATTACTGAAAAATTGACAGCCAGCGTTCTTTACCATCTGCCATTACTTAAGGACTTGGGAACAAAAATTGATTTTCAGTATGCAAATGGACTGAATCACATAGATTTTTCTCAGCCAGTAATCGTACAGTTATGCAAATCATGTCTTCCAGAGTATGGAATGCTCCAATCAGAAAAAAGATTATCATTGGTTGTTGAGATTTAGGAAGAACTGAAAACGTATACTGTGTAAACAGTACCTTACATTTCTAAAATCCCACATGTAGGAAAAATATGCAGATATATAGGTCAACTTTTAGTAACAATATGAAATATACTTAAAGAGCTTTTAAAACTTTGTATTTTTGTACAAAATATTTGCCTTTTTACAATTTTTTTCTTTTTTTTTGTTATTTTACCAATATAGTACACGAAGCCAAAGAAAACAATAATGGTACTAATAAAAACTCATAGGGTTTCTTGTCAGATTTAATTCTACACAGTGGCAAAGGATTTTTTTCAGTTGTGGTTTAAAAAAATAATTAAATATGTGTGTATATGTATATTTTTTAATGTATCATTTCCTCAGAGGAATCAATCACTTGAAATGTCTAAGAAGTGTCCTTGCAGATTTTGCCAGTGTAGGTCAAGCCTGAGCATATATGTGGCTCAGTCAAGTGGGCCATGCATCAAGCCCATCACCAGCCAAGACTCTTGCTGTGTGTCTGCCAGGCTCAGAGGAAGTGGTCAACTCAGGATGTGCTTTTACTTCATTTTGGCGGAGTCAGGGGTGGTGGAGAGGCATCTGTTGGGAAGGGCAGAGCACCTGAATCTGGCTGTCTAGAAGGTCCTGTTTTATGGCTGAGGTATGAATATACTTGGTATCAGACCCATACCAGAGCTGATATTAAATGTCAGGAAAGTATGGCATCACATCGGCCAAAGGCAGAGATGCTAGAAAGATGGGGACAGCTATACACTACCTGGAAAGTTTATGTTTTCTTAAGTCAGATTCCAAAAAACCCCATAATTCCAAGGCACATGCATGATGAAATGCAAGAATAAAATCTTGGCCACTATGTTGAACTCTTGCAAAGGACCTTTTGTCTGAGCCCATCTACCTTCTACTCCTTGACTTGCCATTGAAAAGTCTAACATGAAATGTGCTGAAAACAGGCTTAGATGTAACTGATGCTCAAAGGTAAGATTTCCATCCAACAGATTCCCTCTCCTCTCCTCCCAAGGAGCTCCCCAGCAGTGCTGCTACCTATCCCACATACAATGGTAAAAGAATAAAGACAGAATTTGATTTTCACACATGCAGCTGTGTGGACTGTGTTGTCTTGCCCTGGTCACCGTTCATGCCATCTCTGCAGCCCAGGAATGGTCACCTCCTCAGCACCTTTATGCCCTGCTGTCCTGTCCATGTAGTCTGGTCGGGCTGGTAGGACCCGCTGTCGTCTGGGCCCTATGACACAAGACAGGCACTGGACTCTGGTACCTCTTCAGGCTCAAGACCTACTATAGACTAAACTCTATCCTCTTTTTCATCCTCTTCTGGTTTCTTAGGTGTCAATTAAGATTCATGTTCAGAAGCAACTTGAACGTCTGATGCCATGCTCAGAAGAGAATGGTGCTGGCTCCCACAGCTGAGGGTGTTCCTAATAACAACTTACCCAGTGCTTATCATTTGTCAGGCTTCAATCAGATGATCTCATGTCATCCTCCCAACAGCCCTAAAAAGTAGGCCTTACTACTCTCCCCATTTTATAGAGGGGGGCACTCAGGGAGGTGATGTCATTTCCTGGGTCACATCATCACCAAGGAATGAGGCAGGATTCAGACTCTAGCTTTGAAAATGTTCTAATTTTCTTTAGGAAGCAGGGTTCGTCTTAATAACACAGTAAAATCAGATGAAAATCACACATTACCAGATGCCTCATGTACTCCTCTGTATATTTGGCTATTTATACACCATGTTTCTATTCACCTACTCACCACTGATGCCCTTCTGGGAGGACAGTTTTGGTAAAATGTCATGAGGTCTTCAAGCACTTGAGTTGTTATGAGAAGATGGAAACTTTTTCTTTTTAAATGACTCTTGAAAGAATGAGTGCACAACCAGAAAAAAAAAACAAACCTTTCTTTTGCTCTTCCATGAGCAGCGTTCACCAGGTCTTCCCATATCCTTCCAATTTTAGCAGTTAGGGTTTAAAGCAGACAACAAATAGTAAGACCTGCTCCCATTTTAAAAACCAGATGTTTAAGGAAATAGAAAGTTACATAAATCATATATCCCTGGGACTTCCCTGGTGGCGCAGTGGTTAAGAATCCGCCTGGGGGGCTTCCCTGGTGGCGCAGTGGTTGAGAATCTGCCTGCCAATGCAGGGGACACGGGTTCGATCCCTGGTCTGGGAAGATCCCACATGCCGCGGAGCAACTAGGCCCGTGAGCCACAACTACTGAGCCTGCGCGTCTGGAGCCTGTGCTCCGCAACAAGAGAAGCCGCGATAGTGAGAGGCCCGCGCACTGCAATGAAGAGTGGCCCCCACTTGCCACAACTAGAGAAAGCCCTCGCACAGAAACGAAGACCCAACACAGCCAAAAATTAATTAATTAATAAAAAAAAAACAAGTTTAAGAATCCGCCTGCCAATGCGGGGGACACGGGTTTGAGCCCTGGTCTGGGAAGATCCCACATGCTGCAGAGCAACTAAGCCCATGAGCCACAACTACTGAGCCTGCATTCTAGAGCCCATGAGCCACAACTACTGAAGCCCTCGCGCCTAGAGCCTGTGCCCCGAAACAAGAGAAGCCACGGCAATGAGAAGCCCGTGCACCACAACGAAGAGTAGCCCCCGCTCACTGAAACTAGAGAAAGCCCGCACGCAGCAACGAAGACCCAACGCAGCCAATCAATCAATCAATCATATATCCCTATATAAATCAGGTAACAATATTAAGCATGTGTATTTTGCCTCAGATGACAAAACTGATCTCTTGAAAAACTAAGTATGTTAACTCATTCATAGCTCAAAGAAGTCCAATAATAATAATAAAAGTTTAAATATATTTAGCACTTTCACATACATTACCTCTTCTAACCTTGGTGCAAAACCTTTCTCTCTACTTTAGGGATGAGGACACTGAGGCTAATTTGAAGACTTGCCCATTGCCCACATTACTGTCATGCAAATCTGATCAGGTTCCTCGTTCTTATGTCCCTAAATCTAAGTCCATTCTAACCCTTACCCCCAGTTTAAAATCTTCTGAGTTGCCTGCAGGACATACATGCAGGGGAGATAAGGCCCTCGTGACCAGGTCCTCAGCTGCACCTCCAGCCTCCCCTCCAGCTGCAGCCCTGCCCTTCCTTGCCATGTGCCAGAACAGCCTTGCAAGCCACCTGCAATTTCCTCCATGCTCTTTCTTACCCCCATACTTTACCTGAACTTCCCTTCCCTACCTTTGTTACCTGGAAAGCACCTCCTTTAAGATTCAGCTCAAGCATCACTTCTAGCCTGAATCCTTTCAAAACAAATGCACCCTGAAGGAAGAGCTGATTCTTCCATGCCGAACGCTACACACAAGTGCTCCGGATAACATGGAGGAAAACCCACACACTATGTTAGATGATCTACAGGTTAGCTGAGAGGCCTAAATATTACTGAATTAAGAAGAGAAAGGTGGGCTTTCCTGGTGGCGCAGCGGTTGGGAATCCGCCTGCCAATGTAGGGGACACGGGTTTGAGCCCTGGTCCGGGAAGACCCCACATGCTGTGGAGCAACTAAGCCCGTGCGCCACAACTACTGAGACTGCTCTAGAGCCCACGAGCCACAACTACTGAGCCCACGTGCCACAACTACTGAAGCCCACGTGCCTAGAGCCCGTGCTCTGCAACAAGAGAAGCCACCACGATGAGAAGCCCGTGCACCTCAATGAAGAGTAGGCCCTGCTCACCGCAACCAGAGAAAAAGCCCGCACACAGCAACGAAGACCCAATGCAGCCAAAATAAATAAATAAATAAAATTAAATAAATAAATTTATTAAAAAAAAGAAAGAAAGAAGAGAAAGGTGAATATGGCCAGTCAACAATAAAATCTTAAGAGAACTGACGAATGGGAGAAGCCAAGCAGGAGAAATGAAGCAATTCATGTTGATAACAACTGGTTACTATACATCCACTATATTGGATATATATGTAATATACATATTATGAGTGGAATATTGAGTGAAAAGAACCAACTGGCAAAGCAGATTCATTCTATTTATGAAAATATGGCCCTGAGTCAGGGAAAAGCTTTAGAAACCTTTTCTAAATGGCTGTGTAATGAAATATCTCTTTTCTGTTATGCTCAACAGTTTTACAAGTATAGGTGAACTTTTGCCATTTTTTAGAAGGTATTTCTCTGTACCATAGCTCCATTTTCCTGGAAAGCATCCCTTAGTGGCATGGCATCACACTTATTTTATAAATCACAGAGCAGATGTTAAATAGATTCCACTTCACCCATTCATACTTTTTCCTCTCCTAGATATACTTGTTCAAATAAGTACATAGCATGCCCAGGTTACACCAGGTGGGCAGAAGTCCAAAGAAAAGCAGGCTTAAGAAAACCAACTTTAATTCTCCAGAAGCAGAGCCCCTGGTTTTCAAACTTTTCAATGAATGAGTCTATGAATGAACTCAGTCCAGCCCTGCCTGCCATAGGCAGGGTTGTATCCCAGCCTCCAGCTTTCCTCCAAGGACTTATTAGGTAAAAGAGGGATCACCCATACAACTTGGTTGGGAGTCAGCTGCCAGCAAGGAGACTTCCACCAACAACTCAACCAGGCAGGTCATTAAATGGGCTTTAACAAAAGGGTTAGTCCTCTTGGCCAGAGATGGAGAATTGTCCTTTGGCCAGTCTTCCAACCGTTGGCGCCAGAGTTTGCTGTATTCTTAAATCATCACTCATTGCCGTGACCCACTAAATAATGCCTGCAAGCTTCAGGGAATTATAAGATTCTTAAAAGCAGTTGCTGTGCCTGAGAGCAGAGGAGCTAGGCCAGGCTTGACATAAACCAGCACAAAGTGCTGGCTCTAGAGTTGCTATAATAACACCTACTATCTCCAATTACCATACAAGGAAATTGAAGATCAGACAGGTTAAATAATTTTCCAAGAACTGGGATTTGAACCCATGGCCACCTAGCTTCCACCCCACCACGCTGTCTCCTATGATCCAACAGTAACCTTCCTGAGAGTCTGGGCTTTCTGGGTTGTATTTTGTTCTTTGCCACAAGAAATCAGTCAAGCCACCAGGTCTCTCTAACAGAAGCAGGGAGATAATGGAGGAATCGTGATTCGTGCTCTTTACGTAAAAGTACTAGACCAATCTCTTTGTTATCAATGAGCAAAGAGGCAAAAGTCCACTTGGCGCCCATGCCATGGATGTCCAAAGAGGTCCAGTTTGGAGAAACCACCGTGGATTCTAGAGTAACTGGACGTCTCACAGGGT